GACCTCCTTGGACCAGAGACCAGCCAAGGACATCTCCTCATGACAGAGTTAGATGAGAAAGGCATCAGAACCACGTGACCACAGCACAGAACTGGCACACCACCTCTCCTTCCCATATACCACTTGCCAAAGCAAGTCAGATGGCCAGGCAGAGCCACTAGCAGGGAATGGACTCCTCCCATGGGGAGTGGTGGCAAGGTGAAGATGTAGGGAGCAAGCAGGAGTCAGCACCACACACTCAATCTGCCCCCCTCCCCAAAGGCCAGCACCCCAGGATGATAGAAAGAAGGAAGAGATGGGTGATATGTCATTGTCACAGTCCAGCAGGGTTCTTTTCCCTGTTCACCAAGTATTTAACGTTCTAAACAATGAATTTTTAGTGTTCTTCCAGCTGGGAGCATGAGTCCAACCCTGTGCCATATGCTTCAGGCAGCATCAGCCCTGATTCTATGTACAGGTGCCACCATCCTGTGATGGCTAAAAGCTGGGTTCAAAAGTCACCTCATTATATCATGAAGGCTGTGGAACTCAGAGGAAGGGGACCAGCAAAAGGCTGGAAAAGAACCAGATGGGTTGAGGAGTGACACCAGCAATTGACATCCAGAGCATGTACCACACGACTGACTTCTCCTGACCATCCCTAGAGTGCCAGGACTGTCCCCCATTTAACAGATGAAAAAACAGAGGTACAAAGGGAGCTTAGGGAACTTGCTGTGAGTCAATACTGACACCACCATTGACGACTAGAGTCTGAGTGTTAATCCCTAGGGTCCACAGCTGATTGAGAGGGGACAGGGACTACAGAGATATAGACAGACAGCTATGCAAAAGAGGACAGCTGCCAGGGGGCTGGAGCTGCACAGGGGACTCCAACCACAGTATGAACTATAAATGGGAGCAAACATAGGATGTGCGATTTGGCCAAGGTCCTGCAGCAAGATAGGGTGGAGGCTGGGTAGAAATCCTAGCTGCTGGCTCCTGTTTCCCTCTCCTTCCACTTTCTCTGATACCAGCGCATTCTGGGCGCTCTCCACCGTCTGCGCGGCCACGCCTGCAGCGCTTCCCTCTTGGAAGAGGTGCGATCCACTGGCATTGGAGCTGGGTGGACTGGCTCCCTCTCTCTATCCATCTCTTTCTTCCTTTCCCCTGCCATGTTCTGGAAAGGGCAGCGGGAGGGAATGTGGGCAGGTTGCACCAGAGATATACATCTGAGAGCTGAAGGGAACATTTATTTTTAATGTAGACTTAAAAAGAAAAAGGAAGTTATAAAATATCTGCTCTTGCTCCTGGGATTGTGCAGATGGTGCTGCATTTTGCCTAATAGGGAATGGGGCTGGCATTGCCCGCTGCTGGTCTCTGCCTGGCTGTAAGGACCTAGAGGGTAGGATCCCTGCTGCCCGCCTCAGCCCCACATGGCCCCCATGTGGCCAATGTAGCATGGTGCTCCCTGCCTCCTAACCTCACCCTCTCTAGACTGCCTTCTGCTAACTTCCAAGACTTCTTCCTCAGTCTGGCCAGACTGTCCCTGCTCCTTTGTCACAAACACACACACACACACACACACACCCCCTCAACTCAATTCTGCCTCTTCCTTCAGCAGACAGTCAGGGCACACTGACTGAACTCCTGATTAGATGTTAAAATTGATCAACTTTGCACATACCCACTTGCCTTATTAAACCATCTTGCCATTTTCCCACCTAGGTATTATAAAGGACGTTCTCATACACTTGCTTGCTGGGTCTTTGTGTTTATTGTGCTTTACATTCTCCCCCAGTGTTCCCATTAGGAGCAGCATAGGACACAGTACACAGACAGTGCTCCATAAATGATACGGAATGGTGACTGAACTGCTGGAGAAGGAGCACCCTAAAATCAGTCAGGGCACCCACGCTAGGGGTCAGGAGACCTGACTTTTTTTCTCTACTTTGATTTCAAGTTTCTGGCAAATCACTTAATTTCTCTAAGCCTCAGTTTCCCCATTTGCAAAATATGGAAGATAATCTCTACTTTGTCTGATCCTCAGACTTATTATGAGAATTATCCTAAGTGACATAGGGAAAAGCTTTGGCAAAATCAATTGATCAACCAATTAATCAATTCTAAGAAAGTACAAGGAAGTTCGCTTTAATGGTCTGAGGTGCCAGCAAGGGCACTAGGCCTGTGTTAGGACAGAAGGTGGGAGTTGTCTGGCAAGGTGGAACACTCACTGGTCATAAGTGCACCCTGTGTGTGTGTGTTTGTATTACATAGGCTATATAGTAGTTTACTTTAGGGCTCTGGATTCTTCTGGAAAAGACTTAATGCCACTTTTTTTTTTTTAAACTCCAGTAGTGGCACTGGGGTTTGAACACAGGGCTATGTGCTTGCAAAGCAGGCACTCTACTGTTTGAGCCACACCTCCAGTTCATTTTGTTCTGGTTATTTTGGAGGTGGGGTCTCATGAAGCATTTGCCCAGGCTGGCCTCAAACCTCAATCTTCCCTATTTCAGCCTCCTAAGTAGCTAGGATTATAGGCGTGACCCACCACCACCTGGATACCTCTGCCACTTTAAAAAATACATGCCAAGCCAGGTGCTGGTGGCTCACGCCTGTAATCCTAGCTACTTGGGAGGCTGAGAGAGGGAGGATCTTGGTTTGAGGCCAGCCTGGGCAAGACCCCATCTCTAAAAAGTAATCAGAGCAAAATGGATTGGAAATGTGTCTCAAACAGTAGAGTGCCTGATTTGCAAGCATGAAGTCCTAAGTTTAAAATATCTCAGTCCCACCAAAAAAAAAAAAAAATTGCATGCCATAGGATAAAACAAGTGAAGATGAAAGTGAGACTCAAAGAAAGTTAGGGAAGGGAAGGGAAAGGAAGATGAGGCCAGTAGTGAGCCTTGGGCACAGAACATATGTAGTGTGCATCTGTACCCTTGGCAGACATGGGCATGGAGAGCTGGCCCGTGCTTCTTAATGATCAGGCACAGGTAAATGTCCCAGTGTCTGCAAAACAGATGCAATCCAGTTTCTCAGAAGTACATGTCTGACACTGAGACCAGAAGTTCTCCTAAGAGGGCTCATAAAGGGGACCTTGTGATATAATGAGCAGTGTTCTGGATAACAGTAATCTGGCAAACACAGTGAGTCCCTTTGGGGTGTATCTTATGATGTCTTGGTGGCCTGATTATAGTTGAGGGGGGCAGTGGTGATTCCATGGGAAAGAAAACGTGTAGCCCATAGTCCATGGTAACATCATGGTGCATAAACCTCAGATCAGGGGAATGATGTGCTGAGCTCCCAAGAGTGGACAGCGTGGATTTCCCCAGGCTTTCAGAGATAGTCAGAGATGCACACATGTACACCTGTGTTCACACTCACCCCCATCTTCCTCTGCCTCTCTAGGCTCAACTTCCTGTCTATGTTCTAATTCCTTACTAGGGATGGACTAAGAGGAGTGCCTGGGTCTACTGGGAGACTTCCCAGCACGTGGGACCCTATCAGAGACAACAAAGCTACTTCTGCTGACTTCACACTTTCTATTTGGAACCTGAGAACAGAATTTTAAACTGTGCTAGGACCTCAAAGTTCAACCCCTTCTCTTTATAGTATAGAAAGCTCGAACCCCAAAAGGAGTTATTTTCTATTGGAGACTATAGGAATGGAGCACAGGCTGACTCAAATTCCCCTCACTTTCAGTACAAGTTCATAAGATGCCACTGAACCGAAGAATCAAATAGAGATCTTATTCTGGGAGAAAAATCTTCTAAGATAATTCCCCATTGGAGCTATGGAATGACTTTATATTATGTAATTTTATTCATGCTGGTATGGGCCAATGAATATAAATCTGCATTTGTGTTCGCTGTTTTAAAACATTTTAATGTTTAAAACATGATTTACTAATGCTGCTGAGGATGTCTAGAATTTGATTTACTGCATAGTATTGAATGTTTATACTTGTTTCTTACGGAAATTCTTGCCAAAGAGCCATTTTATGTACAGGAATAATAAATAAGTCAATATGTGGATGGTTGTGCACATTTTTCCATATGCAGCAGTACTTGGTAGATATTATTTTGCACACAAACACTCAAAAGGTAAACTTGAGATGGACACATGGGTCTCTGAAGTCCAAGGTGTGGCCAGTGTTAAGATCAGAGTTAATCTTGACATAAACCAAAAAAAAATAAAAAAGCAGTTAGTGAGGCTAGGTCTTAGGTCTGTTTAGCTTTTGAGAATAACAGATCCACATCTATGTAACATACTTAGCTTCATGTGTATGTTCATTGTCTCCTTAATTCATTCACTAAGCACCCGGTTACTAGGTACCTATTTCCATTCAGAAGGTTAAACATAGTATGAATTTCTGCTTCCTGGAGATTCAGAGATAACAGATACAAATTCCTTCAAATGCTTTTTGTAATTCACTTAAAGTCCTTTGAAATGACTTTTATTTAATCCTCATAGAAATTTTCCTGAATGGCTAGGATATGAAGGAGTTCAGGTTCCCTGAGTAGAAGCGCATGTGTTCCTTTTGTTTGCTCTTACTCCTCTCTCCAGATATGGAAACAGTGCATGTCCATTGTTTGAAAGAATACAGAAATATTTTTAAAGAATGTAAAAAAGTAGTCTGCGGCTGACCTCCAAGGAAATCCACAGTTCATAGTGCTGGCTACAGATATTTTTCATGCTTGGAGATGTGTGTGTGTGTGTGTGTGTGTGTGTGTGTGTGTGTGTGTGTGTGTGTGTGTGTGTGTGTGTGTTGTGTATACAGCTATATATAAGATGAATTTTTTTTCTTTACATAAATGGGATTGTGCTATAATATAATTCTGCAGTTTGCTTTTTTTCCCATTGTCTACCATCTCATTGTGGGCATCAGTTTATATATACACATCAAACCACATCAGTTTGTACAGATTTGGCTCACACTGATCTGTGGCTGCGCACTTTTTCTTTGCAAAAGCATGGGATGTCTCTTTGCCTTCCTCAGCCTTGCCCCTCTCTCTCGGTCTCAGGTGGTAGGTCTTCTCTTGCCCAACCAGACGCTGGCATCCACTGTCTTCTGGCAGGTAAGTCTCTACAAGCAGAGAGCCCCTGAAGAAAGGCTAGAAAGTGCTGGTTAGAAACTCCCTGCAGATGTCTCCTGCCCATTCAGGCTCTTGGGTTAGTGTCACCCCATCCCACTGCCCCAGCCCAGAACTGCTGGTGAAAAAACTGAGCCTTTGACCCTACTGAGCAGGCTCCCAGCAGCCTAGCCCAAGTGCTGCCATGATTTGTCACTGTAACCTTCAGACAGAAGGGGTGGGGTACCTTAGACTGGAACAAGATAGCTTATTGGTAGCTGCCCAATCTGTCCCTTGGCTGCTCATTCCATAACCAGTGACCCAAAACTCACAGCCTCCTCTTAACATCAGCCTTACCCAAATCTGTCGGGGAAGGTTAAGCCACCCAACCCCAAGATTGCATTGTAAAAATCGCTGACCCCAGGCTCTGCCCGTGGGGACTGTGGCTCCTTGAAAACAGCTGAGGAAGTTTTTGTACTTGTCTGTGCAGAGGAAAGGGGGCAGGAAGGAACACCTGTGTGTCTTCTGCCCCAGAGTCTTCCCAGAACAGAGCTGCTAAGGGCTTCTGTGCCTGGTGCTGGAGGTGGTGCTGAGCACTGGGCTGGGAGGTTTTTGAAAGATGTGCAGGACTGTCAGTCATCTTCTGTCCATCAAGACTGTAATAAGAATGATGTGGCAAAGGCAATGGGCCTGTTGGTGGTAGTGAATACCATAATTCCAGTTGAGGGGATTATCTCTGCTTTGGGGTAGGACTGTTGGCATGGGCAGGATCACATCCTGATGTGTCAGGAATGGGTGGGTTTTCTGAGACTCATGACTTTTGGTGCTAGAATCAGCCCAGTGAAAAAAAGCACTGAACAGTTAGTCATGCTATCAGGATGGCAACAGTGTCCTATGTCTTTCTGGAGGTGTGTGTGGGGGGGTGGCCTTCCAGGAAGGTGACCCTGCCTTTCCTGACCTCTTTCCCTGTTGTCTTTCAGTGGCTGAACCAGAGCCACAATGCCTGTGTCAACTATGCAAACCGCAATGCTACCAAGGTGAGTGTCACAGCCCTTTACCTGTGATGGGTTCGAGTGTGGTGACCCAGTCATTCTCCTTACATTGTGACATATGGCCATCATTAGTACCAAACATTGCCCTACTTAGGCACCTTATTTACACTTCCAGCTCTTACTTGGCCAGGGCAAGCAAGAGTCCCAAGGTGGGGCCCGTGGGAAGGAGCTGTGAAAGGGGGGTGTAGTGGGGACCATGCAACAGATGATTTCTGCTAGCCTCAGAATTCTTCTTGGTCACCTTGTATACCCAGATCTTGGATCTGGACAGTATCAGCCCCTTGGGAGCAGAATGCCTCTAAAGTGTCCTTCAAGCTTATCTGGAAGCTGCCTCAGTGTCCCCAGCTCTGTGGCTGCTGACCACACAGCTGAAGAGCTGCTCTGAGGAGTGGGGTCTGAGAGAATTGGCACCTCCTCCCCAAAGTCCCCTGCACTCCTGGGACAAGCCTGTTGTAGAGGTCGGATCAAGCTTTGTTGTCCAGGAAGGGCTGCGGGGCCCCTGCTTCACTGGGCAAGGATTCTTCCTTCTGGTCGATTCTCCACCTCAGTCCAAAGGCAGAGAGATGACAGGAGGACTCCAGATTTCCTTTGAGGGACTGTCAGTTTAGGTAGGGTAGCATCTTGGTCTTTTCTAAACTTGGGAGGGGACAACATAGGAGTTAGCCTGGACAGTAGGAACTTTGAGGGGCCGTGACACTTCCATTCCCACCTAGACAGCACTCCGGGTGCCCAAAGCCTTCCTAAACTGGAGCCTGTTTGCCCAGCCATAAAGGATCTCTGTGGGCTCTTGCTGGTCCATACCTCCCAGCCCATGATCTTTCTAGAGCAGGGCAAAAGCGAAGCGGGACCTTTGGTACCTTCCACGATATTGCTGCCTTATATCTCCATGTTTGGAAGTGAGGTGGGATGCCTGAGTCCCTTTGACTTCCTGAGAGACCTCTTTCATCTCTCCCAATGGTCCAGGCTGGTATACAGGAAGGCTTCTTGCTGGCTGGTGCTGTTTGCAAGATAAAGTATGAGAACTTTGGGTACCCAGTGGGTTTATCTTTCTTCCTCTGTCTTCTAGCCTTCGCCTGCATCCAAGTTCATCCAGGGCTACCTGGGGGCTGTCATCAGTGCTGTCTCCATTGCTGTGAGTAACTCCCTGTCCCCTTTCCCCAGATCTGCTGCTCTCTGGCACCCCACTCAGCACTGCAGATGGTGCAGATGGACCTCTGTCTGAGGGCCAGGTGGACAAGGGCATGAGTGAGTGGGGGGCTCCAGAGAAGGCTTTCTGGGCAGGGAAGAAGCTCTGCTTGTGAGAGCACAAACAGTGCTCCAGGGAGCACCAAAGGCAGGATGTCTGTTCTTACAGGGGCCTGTGAGCACTCAGCACTCTTCCCAGAGCAGCTGCAAAGGAAGGTGGCTCACAGGCCATCTCCCCTTTGCTCTTTGCCTGAGGTCCCCAGACACTGTCAATCCCTCTCTGTGGCCTTGATTATGTGACTACATGACCAGCCTCTCCTGAAGGCCTGTGAGCTCTTCAAGACAGGGCATTAGGCCCCCCTTTGAATCTCCACAGGCCTTTGAGAATGGAACAGCTATGCATTAGGGAAGTTTATAGATTGAACGAGCATAAAGTGGATGGTGGGTCCCCGTTCCCAGATGAAGGCAGAGGGCAGACCACAGAGCTAGGGAGCTGGGCCAGAGCCAGAGTGAAAAATCAAGTCACCCGAACATTGCCTGCTCTTGTCCCACCCTGATCCCAGCCCTGTTTCTATACCTGGCACCCTCTAGATCCCCATAGGGCTGGCCTCCTAGAGCCAACTCCAAAGTGTCCCTTCCTGACTTTGTCATTCCATTCATTAATAACACATATATATGTAATTGGTTAGAAAAATAATCAGAAAATACAAAGCAAAACACATTTACATATTATGGAAGAATTCACATACTAATCTTTCGGTAAAACTTCCTTTCCCATGTCATTATATAAACATAATTGTTCATGACTATATAATAATCCTTTGTACCCTACACTGTAATTAATATTGCTGTTCTGTTAAAATACAGATTTGGGGATGTCCTGAAATGGCCTCATTTATGTTTCTTCCACTTACATCGAGTCATCTCCAAGTGGCTTAAGGTGTCCTGTCTCATGTCCAAGATCTCTTTCCTCCCCTAAATCCTCATGTTTTATCACCAGTGAGAAGTCTTGTGTAGCCAAACCTATTTAGATGACTTGCCAAGATTCTTCCAACCCTACCCTGTGGCCCTGCAACCCAGCTTGGAACTTTGTTTGGGGGTTCCTTGTTCTGGGGGCTTGCTGGGCTGAGGCTGTGGGCTCTCCTGAGATAGGAATAGGGCTCGTTTACCCCTTCCTTATTCCTTAAGATGAAAGGAGCAGAGATTCTGCCTAGCACAGCAGCTTTGAATGTCCCTGTTCCTTCCTGGAGCTGTTCAGGTGAGGTAGGAGGAGTTGTGAGGAGGGGGAGGCCACATAGGGAAAGAACCTGAGTGGCCCTGCAGGGAAGGTTTATCATTACCCTGGTGGGACTTCTTTCCCTGTGAGCCTGGGGCTCCAGAAACAGGAATTCAGCTTATTCTGAGAGCTCTGGCTTCTCTGTGTCCCAGTCCTCATTGTCCCCCTCAAAGGATCCCAGTCATTCGATCGCACCTCTTCCCAGAGCCAAACCTTGCCCAGGTTGGGGGGACGAGAATTCTGAAAAACAGACCTAGTAGAGTTACCTGGGACTTGAGGCCTCCCAAAGGTGGAGTCTCCTCCCAGAGGGGACTTATGGCCTCATGCTGGGTTGTACTGGTGCAGGGGTGGTGGGGGGATTCCTTTTCCCTTCTTCTTCCTACCTAGTCTCAAAGCCTTCTGGAGGCTTTCCCTGGCCTGTGCTGCTCTCCCCCATCTGAATCCTAGGATCTTCTGTCCTTCCTGCACTCATTTACGCCCATTCCCCTGTCCTCTCATTGTTCCTCAGCCTATGCCTTGTCATCTAGCTGGATTACAAGTTAACCAGGGACAGGCACCTGTCTCCTCCCCCACAGAGGGGAGCACAGAGCACCACTCCATAAATATCTATTAATTAGACTGCTGATTGATTGCAGGCCTCAGGAGGCCCCCTCCTCTCCCATCCATGAGCCTTAATGGTGGTGGCGCCCCTCTGCCTGACGTCTTCACACAGTGAGGACTCACTTCGGCAGATGGAGCAGAGTTTCTGACTTGGAAAATCTGCAGCTTGCTTGCTTTTCTTTTGTGTGGTAAATCACAAAACCTCAAAAGAAAGAGGCTTTATTTTATTTTCTTTTCTCTTGTTCTCTGGAACCCCAGGCCCTGCGGCCTCATTAATGATCTCTGCTTCAATTAGTGACAAATCCCCTCCCAGGGTGAGCCTGTTAGAAGAAGATGACCTGCAAACAAGTGTCATGGCCCCAGTGGTTGGCCCAGCTCTGACATTAATTAAAACGAGTCCCTACAAGCAGCTGGCCTGGATGGGGGCTGACAGGCTGAGAGTGGGACCCAGGGACTGAAGGTGAGCTGGGGTGGAGGCTAGCCTCCTCTCTGGACCCCAGAGTGCCCTCTCCCCCTTGCAGAAAAGCCCCTGGCCTTGGCCAGCAGCCTCCCAAAAGGCACCCCCAGTTTGCATGTTCTCAGTAATGCCTCATGCCACATCTAGGACTGCCAGGGTTAGGAGCCTCTCAGTGAACCTCCTAAATAGATTTGGCAGTGTCTGCCTTCTTGCTTGGGAATAAAAAAGAAATTCCGTCTTAAGTTATTTTTGAAATCTAACAGTTTGCTGTCTTTTAACAAAGGAAGCCTCTCTCAGTCCTCATTGTGTTTTCGTTCTGGAGTTTATGGAATGCTTCTGCAGTCCACCCTCACTGGCTTTTCAAAGTGAGGGAGCCGACTCCCCATAGGGTGTTGTAGGCCAAGTACTTCACAGACGCTGCAGACTGGTGTGGCCTTCAGGAAGCTCAGAGGGGAAGTGGCGAGAACTCTGTGGCAGTCAGAATCATGGTGTCCCAGGAATTCCGATCCAGGTTTAGGAACCTGGGCATTGCAGGGGCTCAGGGAAGGAGTGGACTGGAGAATTGGTGAGGGATTTGGCAGGCCCAGCACACAGACCACTATGGACACAGCTCTTGAATGTGGGTGGACCTGGGACAGGGGAGGGAGACTCATGGCTAAAGTCTCCCATGAGTGATCTGGAGCTGGTTGGTGTTGCCTAATGATAGACACTTCATATCCCTTCCTTGAAGCCTTGATCTTCAGCTAGGCCTTAGCTGGCTGAGGCCTTTCCCAGCTGCAGCAATGCAGACCTCCATTCCCAAAGGTTCTGGGCCTTGGGGGTTCCCTTCTGTGTAGGATGCAGTGGTTGTCTTTTTACCTTTACCACTGGACCCTGGAGTTTGGTGAGTAACCAAGGGATCGTTGTATGAACCCTGGCACCTTCTAGTTCTCATTGCTTGCTGACAACTCTATGTTCCCTTGAGGTCAGACTGGCCAATTATCATCATGATAGTAACAATGGGTAACATTTGTGTAGTGCCTACACTGAGCCAGGCACCATTTAGGTGTTTGTCTCTGGCTTATAGACGAGGAAACTGAGGCACAGGGTGATGTCAGTGATAGAGCCCACCCAGGCTTCCTCATATACTTTTCTTACACAAAGACCCTTTTTTTTTTCTTTCCTGCTACCCCTGTGACATAAAAGGATGAGAAAAGCCAGATAATATGTTAGCTTCCGGATGGGGAGAACTATTGCCATGACTCTGATAGGGAGGTCCTTCCCCAGGTTACCCAAGAGCAGTGGAGACTAGAGGAAAACTTCTGAGAGGCTCTGCAGACCTTCCATCCACCTTTACACTTGGCTCCTGGGCCTTGGTCTTCTGGCCAGAGTCAAGTTCACAGCATGTATTTGTCCCTGGTCTAGAGCATGCTCTGCCTCTGCTGGCTCTGTGGTGGGCTGTGTACCGAGCCCTTCTGTTCTTCCTGCGGCCCAAAGGGATTGAGAGTTGGCAGCGCCTACAAATCCTGGACCAGACTATTATCTTGCTGCTTTCACTGTGAGGGGTTTTTGGGCTGCAGGGGGCATTGCAAGGACTGCACGAGAGAATAGAAGTATTCCAGAAGCCTGCAGATGGTGACGCTGGCAGTGGCAAGTCAGACATGAAAAGCAGCTCCACATCTGTTCTGGAGAGGACAAGTTGATGTCCCCACCTACATGGAAGGGTCTGATGTAATTGGTTTCCTCCTAGGTGGCACACTGGGCCCTGTGAGGCACTGTTTAGAGGTAAGGATTGGTCACCAGCAACACAAACAGTCTTCTCAGCCACCGCTGGAGCTGACTAGCACTTTAGCCTGTGTATAACTCTGTCCTGTCACCTGTGCCTCTTTGCTCCCTAATGCATTTCTGAGCCACCGGCTGGCAGGCTCTAGGACAGTTGCCTTCATGGACAGTCATGGGTCCACTGGATAACCAAGTTTATTCTAAATAGGGTGCCCTCTAGTGGGTATTTTTGGTACTTCAGAGGCTCCTTGACCTGCCCCAGCACCCTCAGGACCCATAAATCCCTGACCATTTGAGATATTATTACCCACCACCAAAAAGTGGATCTCAATTTCTGACCTTGTACCATCCCTCCATCAGCACCCTCCTACCCTGTTCTTCAGGGCTTCTCAGACCCACAGCAGG